GGTGGGGGGAGGACCAGGGAGGATGATTCAACAACTCAACCACTAGATGTCACCAAAAACAACAAATCCTACACACTGTGCCTTTAAACAACCATGGTTTTAGTTGTAGTTTTTAAAAAGTTCAATAAGGGATTTGAACAAGAGACACATGAAATAATGTTGTTCATAAAGAGAGCAGGGCCTCTGACAGAGCCTTGCAGAACACCTTTTATCTGTAGATAACTGGATCCTGCAGCTTTGAGTTGAACACTTTACGAGCAGAGAGGTGATTAGAAAAGCAGCTCAGTCTGAYGTCCGCATCTGAAGGTCTCCACCCTGAAATGAATGAGTCATGRACAGGTTTCTGTTCCACCTGATGACATTCTGAGTAACTTAATTCTTTGAATCAGGTGTGTTTAAAGCAGGGAAACAGGCAAAACTTGTAGGTTAGACAGATCTAACAGCAGACCAACACGGTGGTCCGAGACCTCCACATTATTTCAAACTTTAGTAACAGCATTTTGCTGCTGTCTAAAGCCAGTCTGATGGGCCGATTGTGTTTTTTTTTTATCCATGCTGTGTGTTTTTGTGTCCACAGGTTAGAGAAATGGATGGATGGTTTCAGGAAATGTGTTTCAGCAAGTGAGAAAAACTAAAACTCAAAGTTTGAGGTTTCTGTGGGAGCGTGGCTCAGCAGAGCCCTCTTCTGTCTGCGGGGTGATTCTGCCTGCAGAGCGAGCCTCAACCTGGACTTATTATATCCTGATCATACGTAAGAACAATAGATGTATTGTCTGACAAACTCAACGTTTGAGTTTTGATTGGCTGTGAGCCAAAACCATCAAAAGAATCAGAAATAAATGCTTGCTATACATCACTGTATGAATCTTTATATGGTCCTTTTTTGAACTGAAATAAACAGATTTTTTGATTTTCTGATTTGCTAATATGTATTTGATATATCTGTAATATAAAATTAACAGGAGTTTGTTGGGCTGAACCCTGACACAAACCTTCTCATCATCATTAACTCTTACTCCATGTTCTCTCTTTATGGCTAAAACTTTTTTATTTTTACAATCCAACACTTCAGTGACAGTTCTTTAAGTGTKACAGCTTTAAAACGGAGTCCTATCAAAAAGTACAGTAAGAGGTGACGTCCACCTGSGGTTAAAACGTCTTCCTCCTGAGAACTGAGTCCCACCCCCCCACCACGGGGTGGTGCTGTTATAAGGCCGGCCGCCCGTTCAGTTTGTCGTGCATCAGGGCGATGGCTCCGCCTGTGAAGTCTCTGAGAACCTGCACCGTCTCCCTCTGCAGCTGCAGAGACTCGCGCACAAACTCCTGCTGAGTCTCTGCCAGCTGCTGCACCGACTCGGACAGCAGCTCCAGGGAGCGAGACACGGTCTCCAGCAGCACGTTGGTGGCGTGCTGCTCCTGCAGGCTCTGCGATGCGTTCTGCAGCATGCTGTCCCTCGGGTTCTGACCCAGCGCTGGGAGCGTGGGGGCTGACGTGGACGTGTGAGGTTGTCCCTGTCTGTGGAGGCCGTTGTTAAAATGATGATCGTCGCTYGTTTTGACTCTCTGAGTCGATGGAAGCACGTCGTCTCTCTGGTCCTCATCAGAGTCTCCATACCCAGTTTCTGTATCTTCAAAGACATGTTCAGGTTAGAGCTTCCTCCAGCTCCACCACACATGAAATATGCACTTTCACTCTGTTAAACATTTAAACAGCATTTATTTACCTTTCTTAAAAACTAAAATATAAAGACTACACAATAAACCTTTAGATGTTTAGTAATAATTACATTTTAATGTTAATATGTTTGTTTGTATTTGAATACAGAAATAAAAAAAACAAACATGGCGTCCAGCTTTGTCCAAAACTCAGGATTAAAAACAATTTATTACAAAATTAATATCATCCATTCATCCATCCATCCATCATCATCATCATCATCATCCATCCATCCATCCATCCATCCATCCATCCATCCATCCATCCATCCATCCATCATCATCCATCCATCCATCTTCCATC